GAGGTAATTAAAATAGCTACGTGTGATATTCTAACCTGAAGTGTGTGTTTGTTCCGCTCACCGCTGCATGTGATCATGCAGAGCTGCGTGTCGACTCGTCAGCAGCAGCTGATCTCTCTCTCCCGTCAGATTAGACTTCACTCTCGTTTATGTCCATATCGATCAGATCCAGCTAGTTCTAGCTAATGATATGACTACCTGCTTATTAAAAGACACCTAAACAATAAGTGTCGCTATGCAACCGGGTGAGGCCACAAAGTATAGCGCAGCATTATGCATTTGTTTACATGCCCACCGGAACCCCGAGGCATTACCAACAGATCAACGCACAATCAACCCATACAGGACATCTCTTTCTCCACATTAAGTGTTAGACATTAGAATGGACTCTTCTTGTCTGTCACATAAGTGGCGCAACTGAAGCGGTATTGTGCTAAAGGGGAAAATATATTTTGACCGGAAAGATTTAGATTTGCCGGTCTTCAGCATATTTTACCGGTCGTAGTCCGTTAATTATCGGCTAACGGGAACTCTGGTACCTGCACGGGTGAAGTGTTACTGTGAGAGGTGTGTGTTTATAGTACGTGTACCTGCACAGGTGAAGTGTTCGTTAATATGAGGTGTGTGTGTGGAATTCTTAGAAAGTAAACATTCTTAGAAAAGTCTTAGATTTTCTGAGAATAATAGAAGTCATTTTTTCGCAGAATTTTGACTTTCTTTCTAAAAATGTTGACTTTTAAAAGAAAGAACTCTCAAAGAGAGGTAATTCATATATATAAATATATATAACATCAAAGAGGCCTACCCTCTCTCTGGGTTCACCACGATGGCTCTCGGTTTGTCGTGTTCTCCGCGCAGAACCACGCCCACTCGGCTGCCGTCGGTCCTCGTGACGTTGATGACGTTGGTGACCTCGCTGGTCCAGTAGATGAAGCGGCTGAACACGTCGATGCTGAGGTCGTAAATCTGCAGACCAGAACCAGGACCCTGCAGCGGGCTGGACACCACCGTCATGCTCTGAGGGGACAAAACACACATATACACAAATTGGGTATTTACCAAGAATAAAGTGACACATTTACACGAAAAAACATAATAACACAAAAACAGATATATAATTAAGGGTCCGATTGGGGACTCTCCAACCCTCCGGATGACGTTCTGCCATTAAGCATTTTATAATATATTCATGTATGTTTCTGTACCTGGTTCCCGTCCTCTGTGGCCCTCCGGATGACGTTCTGCTTGGAGTCGATCCAGTACAGCTGCTTGTCCAGCGGGTCGTAGTCGATGGCGCGGACGTTCCTCAGGCTGTGGATGGGCAGGATGATGTCGGGGCTCTGCTGCTCGTCCATCACCATGCGGTTAATGGCCGTCTTCTGGCTGAACAGCAGGAAGGAGGTGGGGGCTGCAGGGGAACAAACAGGGGGTTCAAATGATACCAAGAGAGACACTTTGACTTGTTATTGCTTTATTTAAGGTTGTCATATTCAAACATATTTATAAGAAACAAGGAATCCAAAAATATCTGAAAAATATCCGGCAACTGAATAACCCATAGATATTATCAAATAATTAAAAAGTAACAGGGGGGTTAAAATGATGTCAAGAGAGACTCTCTGTTCCTCCTCCAAACTCAAAGAGCGTTCACACCAAAAAGATCTGGAACTAGAACATTTTTTCGGGAACCTTTTCACCCCCTTTCAGCCCCTGCTAGAGAGGAGGTTCTTTCATGGGAGGAAAAGGTTCCTATTTCTGATATGGCAACACAAAAGAAAACATGGGAGCGGTGGAGATGAGGAGGTGTCGGCGTTCTGGCGATTTACTCTGAAGCCGGCTTCAGAGTAAATCGCCAGAACGCCGACACCTCCTCATCTCCACCGCTCCCATGTTTTCTTTTGTGTTGCCATATCAGAAATAGGAACCTTTTCCTCCNCAGCCGTCCATGCGGCTGTCCTGAGACCCCCGCGTCTCCTGTTGGCTCTCCAGCCGACTCCAGCCCCCGTGTTCTGTTGGCGAACCAACCGTCTCAAGTCTCTTCTCAAGTTCCTTCTCAAGTCTCCTTTCAAGTTCCTTCTCAAGTCCCCTCTCAAGCCACATCTCCAGTTCCCTCTCAAGTCAACTCTCAAGTTCCTTCTCGAGTCACCTCTCAAGTCTCCTCTCCAGTTCCCTCTCGAGTTCCCTCTCGAGTCCCCTCTCGAGTCCCCTCTCGAGTCACCTCCCGAGTCACCTCTCAAGTTCCTACCCGAGTCCCCTCTCAAGTCTCCTCTCAAGTCTCCTCTCGAGTTCCCTCTCGAGTTCCCTCTCAAGTATCCTCTCGAGTTCCCTCTCAAGTATCCTCTCGAGTTCCCTCTCAAGTATCCTCTCGAGTTCCCTCTCGAGTCCCTTCTCAAGTCTCTTCTCGAGTCCCCTCTCAAGTCTCCTCTCAAGTTCCCTCTCAAGCCCTCTCTCGAGTACCCTCTCGAGTTCCCTCTCAGGCCCATCTCGAGTCTCTTCTCGAGTCCCCTCTCAAGTCTCCTCTCAAGTTCCCTCTCAAGCCCTCTCTCGAGTTCCCTATCAAGTCCACTCTCAAGTCACCTCTCGAGTTCCCTATCGAGTCCACTCTCAGGTCACCTCTCGAGTTCCCTCTCAAACCCTCTCTCGAGTCTCCTCTCGAGTCCCTTCTCAAGTCCCCTCTCAAGTCTCCGTTCAAGTTCCCTCTCAAGATCCCTCTCAAGTCACCTCTCAAGCCCTATCTCGAGTTTCCTCTCGAGTTCCCTCTCAAGCCCTCTCTCGAGTTTCCTCTCGAGTTCCCTCTCTTGAGTTTCCTCTCGAGTTTCCTCTCAAGCCCTCTCTCGAGTTTCCTCTCGAGTTCCCACTCAAGTCCCTACTCAAGTGCCGTTGGAGGTTCCGCCGGGGGTCCTGCCAACCCCATGTCCTGTACCGTTGGAGGTCCCGCAGACTGCTCTTCTGCCGAGGGTCCTGCCAACCCCATGTCCTGTGCCGTTGGAGGTCCCGCAGACTACTCTTCTGCCGGGGGTCCTGCCAACTCCATGTCTTGTCCCGTTGGAGGTCCCGCAGACTGCTCTTCTGCCGGGGGTCCTGCCAACCCCATGTCCTGTGCCGTTGGAGGTCCCGCAGACTACTCTTCTGCCGGGGGTCCTGCCAACTCCATGTCTTGTCCCGTTGGAGGTCCCGCAGACTGCTCTTCTGCCGGGGGTCCTGCCAACTCCATGTCTTGTCCCGTTGGAGGTCCCGCAGACTGCTCTTCTGCCGGGGGTCCTGCCAACTCCATGTCTTGTCCCGTTGGAGGTCCCGCAGACTACTCTTCTGCCGGGGGTCCTGCCAACTCCATGTCTTGTCCCGTTGGAGGTCCCGCAGACTGCTCTTCTGCCGGGGGTCCTGCCAACTCCATGTCTTGTCCCGTTGGAGGTCCCGCAGACTGCTCTTCTGTCGGGGGTCCTGCCAACCCTATGTCCTGTGCCGTTGGAGGTCCCGCAGACTACTCTTCTGCTGGGGGTCCTGCCAACCCTATGTCCCGTGCCGTTGGAGGTTCCGCCGACTGTTCTCCTGCCGGGGGTCCTGCCGGCCCTGTGTCCTCTTCCGTGGGGGATCTTGCCGACACCGGCTCCTGCCCGGCCTCCGGAGCTGTCCGGTCTTCGCCCTCGAGCCCGGTCCCCTGAGTTCGCCCGCTGTGGTCTTCACCCCTCCTCGAACTCTGTCTTGCCCCCAGGCCGTCCGCCCGAGTTCCCCACCTTGGTCTCTGCCTTGCCCCCGGGCCGTACGCCCGAGTTCCCCACCTTGGTCTCTGCCTTGCCCCCGGGCCGTCCGCCCGAGACCCGTCCTCCAGAACCCCTCCACCCACCCTGCTGGACTTTGTTTTTTGGGACGTCTGGGATCCGTCCCTTGAGGGGGGAGGGGGGGGGGGTTTATGTCACACTGCTAAGTTCATGTCACGGTTGTAGTTTTGTAGGTTAGCTTGTTTTTGCTGTTTTCCATGTCATGTTTTCCTCCGGGTTATTGTCTGATCCTTTTCCCTGTGTTTTTCCTCTTGCCATTAGTTACCCTGGTGTGTCTAGTTATCTGATTGTGTTCACCTGTGGCCCTTGTGTTTCTCCTCCCCTGCCCGGCTGTTTCTCGTCTTGTGATTATCCCTCCCTGTATTTAGTCTTGTCTCTTCCTGTCTTCAGTGTTGGTGCTTCTTTGTTCGTGACTTCGTTCACCGTAGAGTGTTTTGTTTACTCAAGACCTTGAAATAAAGGTATTATCAAATGTTATCTGCGTTTGGGTCCTACCTGCTTCACTCGGCGTATCAGCCGCAAATGTTAATGTTTAGTGGCTCATATATTCTATCTCTGTTGAGCTGATGCAGATGCTTCAATCAAGCTGAAATGCATCAGTCAGAATCAGATGTTGCTTCAGGTCTGAGAAAATCAGGAGAAAATCTCAAATCTGCACTTAATGAAACATTTCTCACCAGGTGCACTGCCAGAGACAAAGGTGGGATCATGTTTGTAATCCTAAAACTTCCTAAATCATATTTGAGAGTTGGGTAGTAAATGGACCATTACTTTTTATCCCATGCTTTTATTCTGAGATCAGATGTTCATATAAGATTACAATATTCACATTTGGCTTATACTTTGAAAATGCACCTTGTTATAAAGCTTTCCGTTTTATATGAATGAAACACAGCAGAAGTGTGTTGATATGTGGAGAGGATCCTGCTAAGACCATCATCTGTATCTGTATTTGAATCTTACAACATGATATACTAAGTCCTGAAGTCTAAAATCGATTAGTGACTTTGACCAAATGGTTTATTTTATATGGAAATTGGAGCCTATTTGAGGGTTTGCTTCCACCTACTAAAGTCCCTATTATGCTTTTTGGGTTTTTTCCCTTTCCTGTAGTTTTCTATAGGTTTTAGTGTAAATGGTCTGCAAAGGCTAAAATCCCTGTGTTCCCTCTCTCTTAGACTTGGTTCTATGGACCAAGCGGCAAAGGTTGCCTATTTCTGGCCAGTTATTTCACACTACACCTTTCATTTGTGAAAATGTAAAAAAAAAAACATAAAAATAGTGTGAGAACAGAAAGCTCTTAATAATGCCTTACATTTTTTTTTTTATAAACCATCTGTCCTGTTTTTTTTATTTCTACATCAGAATTAATCAAGATCTTGTTTATCAGCTGTATGGTTTGTTGTCACGTCAGTATCATTTTACTGTTATACATTAAATTAAGACTGTACAAGCGCAGTTATTAGTTGCCGGGACGACATGTCTCTGGAGCCTGATGTGTGTAATCAGAACTGTATGGTTTCAGTTAGCGCTCGTGTAGGATGAATGCAACAAGAGACAGGAAGTCAGATGGATAGCTGGGTAAGCCTGCTCAGTTAAACCTGTATCCTTGTGTTTCACGATAAAGAGGGCAGTGTTCTTATCAATCTGCACATTTTTCAGAGCTGTGCTGGAGACAAAATCCACATACTCCCCTATTGTGTGATATGGGGGGGGATTACTTTTGCTCCAGGCATTCCTTGTTATTCTAGAGGGCCTCATGGTCTACTTTTTCAACTGGGGGAAGAAACATGGCAGGACTCTGTTTTGACGAACCTTCCAGAAATGTGTTCTAGGACTGAGCACTCTGACAAACAGCCGAACCACCCGACCCTCCTCAGCCAACTGCCTCTGGAGAGGAACGCAGCAAATGTTGGGCCTAATAATATTCTGGGGTAAATACAGAGAAGCACATTTTCCTCAGGGGTATGAAAGGGCTTCCAATATTTGTTATGCGCACCAACCAACGTGAGACGTATCTTTAAAGTTATTTCTCAACTGGTAATAAAGAATCACCCTAAAACCACCCACAGATATTGAAACATATGTAAATGTTTATTTTGGATTTTTCATATTTCCCATATTAACTTATTAGCTGTCAAATTAAGTTTTATAATAAAATTAAACAGTTTCTGAAGGAACAGCGAATAAATTCAGCCCACAACTGAAACTCTAAAACAGAACTTGGTCTCCACGTGACTACACACATGATATCATATTGTACACATACCAGATATTCTTCCAGGAAACTTTGCAGGTAATCATGAGGAAATTCTAGACACTTCAAATAAAGCCTTACTGTATATTTACGTTCAAAGATAAAGACCTAAAGGTTTCAAAGCCCTCTTCACTCAGGGGTAGAGTTATATTGGAGCTGGATTTATTTATTTTTCACACACAAAAAGAATGAAATTTGCTTTGAAATAGACTAACCATGTGAATATTTTCAACTGTAGAATGGCTGCCAATTTTCAAAGGAAAAATACAATGGTCAGGACTTCAGTGTCCTCAAAGGTAGCTACAACCCCATGTCCAAAAATAGCTAGGATTTTATTGCTTCAATCAAAAAAAAAAATACCTTCCAATCTATTAACAGCCTGCAATATTCAGAGGTTAGGTTTCCAAATATTTAACATAAATTGTAAAGGTTCCATTTGGTGAGCCAAGACATTTCTGAGGCATACTTTTATACACGTTTGTACACACAGGCCGTGAGAATTTTTAAGTAGATTTTGTACTGTCTTATAAAAACAGAAAATACTACTGAACACCTGAAACATTCCCCAGCTTCTTTTTGTCACACCAGTAGTCCATTAGTGGACCTTGAAATGGATATTCAGCCTTTCTATCATAAAATGGTATTATTACTCCATTAACATTACCCTTATTACCGGTTTAACGCTGAAATCAGACACAGTATCAAAGTCTTGTAATGTGAAGAATGACATATTATAGAATATCAAGCTGACTAAGCCTAAGAAAGCACATAACAGGTCCTTTTAAGGTGTTATTTTAGTTTTCATTAAATATTTCTGATAGTGTAACTTTAGTGTGTAATTATCCGACTCTCAAGGAGAAAATTACTGTATTCTTTGTAGATTGCAGTGTTCTGGAAATATTTTGCATTTGCCCTTTGGTTTTTTTTTTTTTGGCTCTGTCTATGCAAAAAATTACTTTCTACAACATAAAGTATGCAAAATATAGAGTATCTTTCTGTACGTTTTCAGGAATCAGAATGTTTGATCACATTTGTTAGACAGAAGGACTGGCAACGTAACTCTCATCGGGTTTTTACCAAATTTAGTGATGTGTGTCTCTTTCCTTCACCACTTTGACCCAGATCCAAACTTCCGAATAGATTGTGATATACTTTCACATTCATGATCCCCAGGGGATGAATCCTTTTGATTGTGTTGATCCCCTGACTGCTAACATACAGTATGCGGTTTGAGTTAAATGTCTCATCAACTGTTGGTTGATTTGAAAATGTGTTTGGTACAATAACTTTGGCAATCCTGTGACTTCATTAAGTACATTTTTTTATGTGTCTAATTATTTGGTTTGTGTTAAAATACCTGCAAATGTAATGGTATTTCCATCAGCTCCAGCTGTACTTTGTGATTATTGCTTAAGTTTTACCTCTCCAGGCCTCTAAAAATAGTTTGAATGACAGAGAAACTACTTCTCCTAATGATTTTCCCATCAGCCGTAGCTGTCAACAAAATTTCCGGAGAATGATCGCCACATGGGCTAAATCGGACAATACACAGACTTTAAATGAGGAAAGAGTGAAAATCTGTTTAAAGTACTATCCGACAGTTGTGTTCTCTCACACAACTCATCCGGGCTATGTCTAAATATATTCAGGACAGCATTGCATGTGTGAAAGGGTTTCAAGTCAAATAAAAAAAATACGTGCAGCATGTGAAAATATTTACAAAAATGTGCTTGAATTTAATGTGTCCAATTAGATGCGGAGGGTTGAGTGTCCATAGGGCTAGATCAATCTGTCTGACATGCTTGCTTCCTTTTTAGCAATAAGTATTCTTTGGCAATGGTTATGCAGGATAGTAATTCAGTTTAATGACACATAGCCAACATGATACAGAACCTTAGATGAACAAATGACCTTTCTCATGTTGCAGTTTCAGAAAATCCCACAGCTTCCTGCTTTGCTGTTGTCCGATTTGATTGCCCAGCGGAGACTGGTTGCCTATCACCAGCAGCAGGGAGAGGAAGGATGAGATAAGCTATGTAATGCAACGCCTATCAGGCAATATTGTACTTTGTTTTTAACAATGGTTGAACTGAATACTGTAACAGGAATTTCCTAAACAATATTAGGCTTAGCCGAAGAAAAGCAGTCTGGATTAGACCACACTTTAAGTTGAAGATTGAGGATGAGAAACACATGGCAGCACACGTCATGCAGAAGTATTATTTTAAGCAACACATTAAGTTGACGAAACACTCGAGTCAAATGTAATTAAAGTCAGATCGTGTCTTAGACGGGGCAGTGATATCATAAACCTGTTAATGTACGCATTCAAACACTTTTTCTTTTGCCTGTATTCACCTTGCAGGTGCAACTATGTGGCTTTTATCCTGGATAAAGTGTTTAAGTAATGGATGTTTAAAGTTTAACTTATTCATATGTCTAATATTAAAGTTCACTTTCCATTCAGGAAGTATGACGCTGCGCTGTCAGTACTGACAGCGCAGCGTCGCTTCTCTATGTTTGTGATTGGTCGAATGCTCCAAATACCACCCCTTTCATGTGAACGCGCACCTAACTACATAGGACATGGCTGGCTTGAGCGATTCACTTGATAACCCGCGTCGTAGTACAATTTAGCGAGAGCGCGTATGTTTTGGATTAGGCCAACCGGCTAACTCAAACATATCCAGGTTAGGTTGAACCAGCTTCGTAGTACAGGCCTCCGCTGTCAGACTGAGAGACTGATAACTACAGCTCAGGTGAGGTAAAGGACTTTAGAGTGTTTAGATAGTTAACTTAGTCTAAATTATCTCTGTGGGTCTCAAACGGTTTGGTCACCATTTATGTAAACACATATTTCCATTTGAAGGGGGAGTGATTAGTCAAATATGCATGAATAATAAATTTTTAAAGATTAACTAGGTGAAAAAAGGTAAGATAAACTTTAAAAACTTGTTGAGAGCTAAAATTAGTCTTTGCTGCTGCCTCAAAGAGGAGCAGGGGAGAGACAGGTTAGGCTGGTTCAGGAGCCCAGACACACTCACAACTATAAATAAACAAAAACCAATAAATAAACAAGTTTCAATGTTTTTTCATATTGGATATGGTATGTTATTGGTTATGGCCATGTTCTTCTGATTATATGATTATTTGAATGTATACAGTTCTGTTTCATATGGGTGTAGTCTCTTTATTTCCCCCTCAAAGTGCACCATATTGATGCATTTAAGTCCAACATTTAAAAAAACAAATCTTACCGGGGGAGCATGCCCCCAGACCCCCCTAGAGGATTTGAGGTCTACCCACTTAAAATATGTTCACATGGATAGGTTCCTAAATAGATTTGCACATTTTTTTAAATAGTAACCCATGTCCATATGTTTATTCTGGGGTAGTAGATTTAAAGTTTAGGGCTATCACTATGGGCAGAAGCGCTGTAAATATTGACAAATAAATCCAGGAAAATGGCACAAAAGAAAACTGGTAGTGGCCGGCTGGGTGTGTAATTCCAGGCCTGACTTATTGTCCCAGTCCGGCCCTGCCCCCAAATGATCACCCTCCTCTTCCTCCTCCTCTTCCTCCTCCAGGAACCAACGCCTGTTCTGAGTTAAATGGCGGCTGCAGTCACCTCTGCCTCTTCACTCCTCGAGGAGTGATCTGTGGGTGTCCCATCGGTCTGGAGCTGGTCTCCGACATGAAGAACTGCATCGTCCCCGAAGCCTTCCTGCTGTTCTCCAGACACACGGACATCCGCCGCATCTCGCTGGAAACAAACAACAACAACGTGGCCATCCCGCTGACCGGCGTCAAGGAGGCGTCCGCGCTCGACTTCGACGTCACCGACAACCGCATCTACTGGACCGACATCACGCTGAAGGCAGAGACACTTCTTTATATCTGGACACTTGTTTCTTGACCCATCTTTTCCAGACTATTTATTACATATTTCTAAGACAAGCTTTCTTCGTACACTTGTTTCTTATAAATATTTCTAGAAATGTACTTTGTATAAATCCCTCTCCTCTCTGCAGACGATCAGCCGGGCCTTCATGAACGGCTCGGCTCTGGAGCACGTGGTGGAGTTCGGGCTGGATTACCCCGAGGGGATGGCTGTTGATTGGCTGGGGAAGAACCTCTACTGGGCCGACACGGGGACCAATCGCATCGAAGTATCCAAACTGGACGGGCAGCACCGGCAGGTTCTGGTTTGGAAAGACCTGGACAGCCCGCGGGCGCTGGCTCTGGACCCGGCTGAGGGGTGAGGGATCAGTACAGGAGGGTTAGAGGGGTTGAAACATTTGGAAAAAATTGAATATTCTCCAAGATTAAAGACAAAAAACGCACAAATTAAGATAAAAAACAGTTTAAACAAAGTCTCTTCCGTGATCGGTTGAGAAAAAAAACAGTAGGAATATTTTGAGGGTTTTTAAATATAAGTTTAACGGAAAAAATGTTTAATATTCTCTAAGATTGAACACAAAGAAAACCTCAAAAATTAGAATAATATTATAATTTTCTTCCATGAATAATGTGGTATTTTGTAAAGGAAAGAATTTAATATTCTCCGAGATTTAAATGTTAAAATTAGGAGAAAAAAACCAAAAATAATTGTTTGAAAAATCCAAAACTTAAGTTGTAAATTTGCCAAGAAAATACACACAAACTACAATTCATGTCGTCCCAATAACACCCCTTCATGTCCCTCAGGTACATGTACTGGACGGAGTGGGGGGGGAAGCCTAAGATCGACCGCGCGGCGATGGACGGGACGGGGCGTCTCACTCTGGTCTCGGACGTAGGGCGAGCCAACGGACTCACCATCGATTACGCTGAGCGGCGCCTCTACTGGACAGACCTGGACACTACACTCATCGAGTCCTCCAACATGCTGGGTAATAACATATCACATGATTAAACATCAGATGGTGCAGAAGTTACATATTTTAGAACTTCAAAAATGTGTCTAATTTAAAGAACCAGTTATTTCTGATCATTTTTCTGGACTTTTTTTTGTGCAAGATGTCATTAATGTTAAAGCCATTCAGGGCAATTCAAGTACATTTCAGAGCTGATAAAGGGGGTTATAACCAGCTCCTCTAACCCCCCCCTCTCTCCCCCCTTCAGGTGAGGAGCGGGAGGTGATAGCAGACGACCTCCCTCACCCCTTCGGCCTCACCCAGTACCAGGACTACATCTACTGGACGGACTGGAGCCAGCGCAGCATCGAGCGCGCCAACAAGACCAGCGGGCAGAATCGAACCGTGATTCAGGGCCACCTGGACTACGTGATGGACATCCTGGTGTTCCACTCGTCACGGCAGGGGGGCTGGAACGCCTGCGCCGCCACCAATGGGCACTGCTCTCACCTGTGCCTCGCCGTGCCAATCAGCGGCTTCGTCTGTGGATGCCCCGCCCACTTCCTGCTCAACGGAGACAACAAGACCTGCAGCGGTGAGATTAGGCGATTTCACACCAAGTACTTTTCCCAGGAATAGTTCCTGAACTCTTTAGTTCCTGAACTTTCTAGCAGATCGCGTTCACACCGGAATAAGTCCCTGAGGGAGGGTTAGGCAAATGAAGCCGCTGACGTCACTTCTTATTCTTCTGCTTTGGGTTTACTGGCAGGCCGCAAACCACTTCACGGCGTATACTGCCGCCCAAAATCC